ATGTGTACAGTATATTTTTTAATTCTACTTATACAATTACAAATTACAATGACCTTTACATTTTCTTCTAATAATATTAATCTTGTTCTATTTTAAGATTCGAATTATTAGATTTTACGGTAATACCAATATTATTATCCCTAATATCTAATTCTTTCAGCGTGGAGTTCTTGCAAATTGCATCAGCTAATGCTTTTCCTCCTTCTGCCCCAAGTTGATTATAATAAAGATTCAAAGAAGTTAACGTGGAGTTCTTGCAAAGTGCATCTGCTAGTGCTTTTCCTCCTTCTGCTCCAAGATTATTATATCCAAGATCCAAAGAAGTTAGCGTGGAGTTCTTGCAAAGTGCATCAGCTAATACTTTTCCTCCTCCTGACCCAAGTTCATTATATCGAAGAACCAAATCTTTCAGTATGGAGTTCTTGCAAAGTGCATCTGCTAACGCTTTTGCTCCATTTGACCCAAGATCATTATTAGAAAGATTCAAGGAAGTCAATGTGGTGTTCTTGCAAAGTGCCTTTATTAATTTGTTTATTTTTAGAATGTCACATTTATTATAAGACAAATCCCAAGTTGAAGCACTTTTTTGATCTTCGGGGCTATGCTGGCTGTGTTTAAGGATTTCTTCAAAACGTTCTAATGCTTTGAGAAATTTGGCTTGCTCAAAAAATTCATGTGCTTCCTTTCTTAAATTCTCAATATTATTATTGTCTTGCACTGAAGTATTTAAAATAATGTATCACGCAAATAACGATGAAATGACGTAATTTTGAGTGAATTGGAGTGAATTGAATTGATGAGAGCACTTATATAGTCTTATAGCTTACATGAAGGATGGTATTGATTCGAAATTCCATTAGGAGTAATTTGCTTTAAGATATTGTGAACTAACTTGGTTTCTGGACGCTTAACAGGATCGTTATCCCAACATTTCTCGTAAAGTTCAATATATTGAGATGGTATACCTTCTATAGGTTTTTCTTTGTTTCCACGAATAACAACATGAATAAAAAGTACACTAGGTGACGATTCAAGGGACTGGAATGGTGGTCTTCGCTTGAAATTTCCCAAAGAATTACTCCCAAGCTGTATATGTCAGATTTCTTATTACGTACATACTCTAGATCAATAAGATATTTAGGATCAACATATGCTGGCATCCCAAAAGCTGAATTTGAAGTCACAGATGTCTCGTTTATGTGTTTCGAAAGTCCAAAACCAGCAATCTTTGGTTGTTTTTGATGGATTAATATGTTTTTTGAATGCTATTATATATATATATTAGAAAATTAAGTTATTGTAACTAAAATTCATAATATAGTGTAAAAATAATATACTTACGAGATCTCTATGAATAATCTTTTTATTATGTAAGAACAAAAGGCCATGGGCTATTTCCTCAGAAATACGTAATTTATCAGTCCATTGTAATGTTGAGAAATTTGCTTTTAGATATTCTCGTAAATTTCCGTTATTAGCATGTTGTAAAACCATATTATAATGTCCATTATTGTCTATTAATTAACATGTTGATATTATAGGCTATACATTAAATATTTTTTACTTTATAAATTTAGAAGGAAAGAACTATATATACCTTTCGTAACTCCATAAAATCTAATAATGTTAGAATGGTAATCGACTTTTCGCAATAGTCGAAGCTTTATTATTATTATACATATCAGAAATTGTAGATACTTAATATTATGCTAAGAAGTAACTCAGGTTTTAATATATATAATACCTCATGAATAAAATTTCTAATAATCTTTTCTTCTAAACTAAATTCTAGATAGACTTTTAGACATTTAAGAGCAACAGGTAATCCACATTCTTTCCACTCATATTTTGAAACTATTGCAAAGCCTCCAACGCCAAGCTTACTACTGTATGTAAATTCATTATATTCAAAATATTTAATATGTCCACCGGAAATAGCTTCTTTAAGCCACTTTTCTGATATATCATTATCGTCTTGCACTGAAATATTTAAAATTATTGTATTAGGCAAATAAAGGAGATGATGTAATTTCGAGTGGATTGAATTGATGAGTGCACTTATATTGTCTTATAACTTACGGAATTGATTCGAAACTTCGTTAGGATGGTATTGAGTCGAAATTTCGGTAGGATCAATTTGCTTTAAGGTATTGTGAACAAACTTGGTTTCTGGACGCTTAACAGGGTTTTTATTCCAACATTTCTCGTAAAGTTCAATATATTGCGATGGTGTACCTTCTATAGGTTTTTCTCTCTTTCCCCGAATAACAGAAGCAAGAATTTTACAAGGTGATGATTCAATGGACTGGAATGGTGGTCTTCCGCTTGAAATTTCCCAAAGAATTACACCCAAGCTATATACGTCAGATTTTTTATTACGTACATACTTGAGATCTTCTTCAAAATACTTAGGATCGACATATGCTGGCATTCCAAAAGCTGAATTTGAAGTCACAGATGTCTCGTTTATGTGTTTCGATAGTCCAAAATCAGCAATCTTTGGTTGTTTTTGATGAATTAAGATGTTTTTCGAATGCTATTATATATATTAGAACATTAAATTATTGTAACTAAAATTCATAATATAATATAAAAATAACATACTTACAAGATCTCTATGAATAATCTTTTTATTATGTAAAAACAAAAGGCCATGGGCTATTTCCTCAGAAATACGTAATTTATCAGTCCATTGTAATATTGAGAAATTTGCTTTTAGATATTCTCGTAAATTTCCGTCATTAGCATGTTGTAAAACCATATTATAATATCCATTATTATCTATTAATTAATATTATCGTCTATAAATTAAGTATTTATCACTTTAAATATTTAGAAGTGAAGAACTACCTTTCGTGACTCCATAAAATTTAATAATGTTTTGATGGGAATCAACTTGTTTCAACAGTTTAAGCTTTATTATTATACATATTGCAGATATTTAATATTATGGTAAAAAGTAACTCAAGTTTTAATATATATAACAAATACCTCATTAATAAAATCTCTAATAATTTTTTCTTCGAAACTTAATTCTGTATCGACTTTTAGACATTTAAGAGCAACGGTTAATTCACATTCTTTCCACTCGTATTTAGAAACCTTTCCAAAGCCTCCAACGCCAATCAAACCAGTGTATGTAAATTCATTATATTCGAGATAATTAATATGTCCACCAGAAATAGCTTCTTCAAGCCACTTTTCTGATTTATTTGACATGACTTTTTTATACTAAGATTTATTGAATAATACGAACGAACGTACTGTACATATGTCTAAAAACCATAATAGTTCCTTATATAGAGACTCAGTATTTATTTGCCCCAAAAGGAAATACCAGGAACGTAGTGAAACGGAGTGTATGGTTTACTGAAGAATAAATCGTCAGCAAAATCTTAAAGCTGATTGGATTATACATTTATACAGATCAGTTTTCTCACGTATCGGTATGACAACTACTAACACTAATGCTAATTTGTCGCTTTAGCCTTTCATAGAGGTCGTCCGGTCTACATATTGCATAGATCGATCGTATTCTTGATAAATTAGCCACTATGTAATTAATGAATACCAAAGAATTGCACCAATCAGGTAATACTATATTAAATGAGTGATGAAAAGGGAAAACCTGTAAATTATCTCACTCAATGAGTGAAATGATTTACAGGTTTTCCCTTTTAATAACGATAAGATATGTATTACTTAATTAATAAGGTAGCTGCGCGACGCAGTCACGCTAGAAACCAGGAACGAAGACAAATATAGTAGTTAACAAATAGCCAAGTAACGTACAAACGAGAACTAATCTAGCATCCCATTAATATATCGCGAAGCATTTGATAGATACTATAGGTAATCGACTCGCATTAGCTAATCAAACAAAAGTTTACAAGGAATCATATGATAAATTGTCTTTGACGATCAGCGATTATCATTCCATCAACCCAACAAAAAATCCTACGAAAAAAAAACAAAAAATGCCAAATATCAGGCAAATACGCAAATTAATTTGCATCGGGTTACCAATTTTTGCATCCGAAATTCCTTTTTTACTATCGTTATTTATCGCAACTACGATATCATTCATGTTTGCGTTTTTTGTATTCAAATTATGCTCTGTGATTGCATATCCGAATGCACGTGCATATCAGTTGATCTATATGCGTGATGAATTCATGTGAAAAATAATGCGTGATCAAAATTTGACGAATAAATCATGCGGACCAATCAAACTTAAGATTTTGACGGCGGATACCACTTATTGTTCCATATAAACCATCTACTTCGTGATTTCATCACTCCATTCCTGGTATTCATTATGTTTAAATATGTTTAAAAATATAACAAAATATAAAATATAATCTATACATAATAAAGAACATATTATAAAGTTATAGTAAATTAATATTTAAAATCTATTTAATATATTATAACTTTATAACATTTATATAATGAAAACATATTTTTACTATATTTTTATGCTATTTTTATTATATTTTTATGATATTTTTATGATATTTTTATATGTTTATTATACTTTATTAAATATTAATTACCGTATCTTCGCGAAATAACGCCCCGGGGCGTAATTTTGAGACACATTGCTTGAAGAGAGCTAATAATTAATTTAGCCGAAGACTTTTAATAACCAAAAATTATGATTTTCATTCGTTTAAATTAATAATTAGCTCTCTTCAAGCAATGTATCTTAAAATAACGCCCGGGCGTTATTTCGCGACGATACGGTATTTTTTATATTGTTATATTTTTTCTACCAATTTATAAGAGACTTAATAGAATTATAAAAAAAATATTTTTTAAAATATTTTCAATATATGTTTTAAAATATTTTCAACATATGTTTTAAAAAATTATATATCAAAGATATAACGATTATATGATTATTATATGATTAATATATTTGGCAGAAATACAGGTTTCTATAAAGTAAAATCTATTTTTAAAACATGTATTATTATTGCTAACAACTAAACTATTATTTAAATCTCATCATCTATTTCATCTATTTTTTCTATCTCATTCTCTGCTGACACCAAAATAAATTTTATGTCTTCATCTTTAATAACAAATTTATTTTCACTTTCTATTTGTATTTGTCTTTGTCTTTCGACAATTGAATAAATTGGAATCGATTCCCATTTTAAGGAATTTTCCCTCCATGCTTTTGTAATTGATAGATCATTATAAAAACATATATATTTTACTCTTAACTTATCCTTGAGCTTAGAATCCAAATCAGTCTGCCCTGAAAAAAAAATAGAATTTTCATTGAATGCGTAATCATAAATTAATTTATTTTGATTAAAGAGAACAGCATGTTTTCCATCTTCATCAGCATCTTCAAAGGCAGCACTTTTAACAAATTTACAATAATTATTATTAATCAACCAATTTTTTAAAGTAATAAACTAATGAGTTATTTAAACATACCTCATAAATGAAATAATAACATTTTGTAGTATCATGACAAAAACAATATTACCAATTACACCCATGATGATAAGAGGCCAGAATCCCCAAGCATCTAATGAAATTGAATCCCAATTATATACGGCAATTATAGCACTAAAGGGGTTTGAAAATAAATTGGCTGGTTCTTCTCCAGTCATATTATAGACCATATCATTCCCATTAGAAACATCATATGTTGTCGGAGATTGACTTAGCCCAACATATGATGCATAACCAAGAAAAATAAATCTGCATATAAATATATATTAGTACAAATTTAAAAGACTGAGTATTTCTAGTCAACTTACAATGCATGTCCCTGAAAAAAAAATTAAATATAAGTATAATATATAAAATTATAAACGATAATACAATAAAAATAATTAAATTAGAGATATAACCATTGCAATTACGGTTAAAGCAAAAAATAATAAAAACAAGCGTATTCTAACAACAATATTATAAAGTATATTTAGGTAATGTGCGAAACCTAATATGGAAATATTAATATATGTAAGTTTGAGCAAATATAAATTAAAAAATTAATGAACATACAATACCTGGAACAAATCGTAATAATAGTATCTAGACAATAATATTTTAAACAAAACATATATAAATATAAAATAATAATATATAAAAACGTAGTAAATAGCAAAAAATAAATTATATACTTACGAGTTCATACCAAATGCCTAAAATACTTATAAAAATGATGAATGACATAAAGAGACTACTTTTAGCATATTTAAATCCATCCTCAAAAGTATAGTATTGCGTCATAATGTAAACACAAATAGTCAATGGTAAAAAAAATGCAAAAAGGTCTACCCAGTTAAAAGGATCTTTACAATATTTTGATATGTTATGTTTAAATATTCTAAAACGTAGTTGTTGGTATTCAATCATGAGATGGTAATAATTCGAATAAAAAAACAATAAAATGGTTACAAGCACCAGAATATGTTGAAATTCACCAGTAACTTGAATGTGTGCAATAAACATCCAGGAAATAATTGAATAAGATAAAAGATATATTATATAAACGTATAAAGTTGAAGGCCAATGTGATTCAGTTGAATACCACATAAAATTTATAATGGCTTCCATGGATGGGTTATAATAAAAAGGATCATCATAATTATTTTCAACTGCATTTATAAGAAAAAGAAAAGGATTATAATAATTGTCCAGATATACAAATTCACTAGGGCGAAATATAGATTTTAAAACATTCAGGTATTTGTTTCCTCTTCTTTCCAGCAATTCATTGCTTGTCGTAAAATCAATTAAAGGTACCATTCGAATATCAGGAATTTTATCAAGGCTGTATTTAAAATTTAATTAAAATTAGTCATAATAAGCACTCCTCATACTTTCTCTGCTTCAGAATCTATAATAGAGTGCTCAGACTTATGTGATTTCAAAGATTTATCATTGTTCAAATAATGAAAATCCTTCCAATAATAAAAGTCTGGCACTCACATCTATAATGAATGATATTTTCCTATTTAGATCTTGTATTTTATGTTCGTTTATATAAATTACACTATAAATTCATCTACACCTAAAAGTATCCGAAATAAGCACCTCTTCTAACAAAAAAGGATACTTAATTTCGGTAATCACATCTCAAATCTTACCTGATTTCTTTTACTTCCAAAACGGATTCCTCTGGAACCAATTGTGTTATGGGTACAAAAACCTCTAAAAAATCATTTAGGGATGGTGCAACTTCAAGAAAATCAAAAAAAGGTATATCTAATACTTTTGCACAGAAGCAAGGTTTATAAAATAATATTTGAATATAGGACTTATAAAATCCTGTAAAAAAAAAAAAAAAAAGACAACCGTTTGAGATATCAATACATAGATTAAATGAGGAAATGCACATAACTGACCATAATTGTTATTATTTTCATCATATAACTCTGGTATAATTTCTCCAACTGTAATCATCCACCCAATTTCTTCGACTGCTTTATTAGAATAATATTCTAAAAAATATCCTAGAAAGATTGGATCATCATCTAACGAAAAAAAGTATCAATAAATTAACACCTAACATGTAAAATACTTTTGCAGCTAATTAGCACAAATTTAAATAAACAAACCTAAAAGTGCTTTACGAATTGTATTGTCTCCACCTTCCCATGCATAATATTGTGGCATGTGGAGTGATTTCTCATGCACTGAACTATTTTGGTCTGGCTTTATGTCTTGTGAAAGTTGTTTCTTGAGTTCAAACTTGGATGCTATACTATCAAGGGTTTTAAGAATGTAGTTTTCATGATCATCAACATCATTGATAGATTTTTTTTCGTTAAATAATATATATTTTATAAGTGAATATTCCCTCGCTTCAATGAGAATACTCAACAAATCAAAGCGAAAATCCAATAATCGCCAAACAATCGGATATAGCTGAATAAATTTTACAATAATGTTTCGTGTTTGTTTGACTATCTCTTTGAATTTTAAAAGATTCTCATGGACTAATATCCTAGTGTAATGAGGTACTAGATATATCCGATATAAATATTTAAGCGCGTGACAAGCTTGTTTTACAGCATTAATTACGTCAATGTCACCACCCATTTCAATTAATTGAGAATTTTCAGATTGAATTGAAAGTTTGAATTTTTTTATTCCATATTCGATTCTTTTAACATTATCTCTTTCATTCCAATTTTCAATATTATCGATCACACTAATGAATTCAAGGGTTCTTTTGTCATCTCTATCATGCCAAACCTGGACTGTATGTTGACCAATCAAAAGTAGAATTTCCTTTTTTTTATCGAGAAAAACTGAATGCTGTAGTCCTCCATGAGGTAGCCAAGGTTCAAATATTTTATAGAATTCTGATGTTTGACGATGGTCTCCTTTTTGCGATAGAGTCTTCAAGTCTTGTTCGTCACCATTCCTCTTTAAATGCTCTAAGATTAAATCATCATAAATTCGCTTATATTCAAGAAGATTACCTTGTTTCTCCTCCTTATTATTAACAACAACTATAAAAGAGTTCGATCTCTCTAGTTGATAATCAGGTTTTTCAAACAAATTACTTTTAATTTTAAGATCAAGTTCAATTTGATTTTCGAGTTTAACTGATTTATGTATTGTGGCAAAAATATTCCAGATTGACCATTTATTTTCTGATTGATATATTAATAATTTCTCATCACCGTTAAAAAAATACATGAAAGACTCAATAGAAGATGTTTCGCCAGTCTTTATCTCTATAGATGCTATCTCAAAACCACATTCAATCAAGTATAATTTGATCTTACTTCCAGATCTATATGCTAATAATTTGTTATTGTTTGATATCGTAAAATTATCAGGAACATCTGCCATGAAATCTAGTTCGTATAAAATTTGTCTATGAAAGGTAACTACTAATTGGTTTGTTTTTAAATCATATAGTTCCATGTATCTCGCACCTCCACGTATAGTATCTACGAAAAAATAATGTTTATCTAAACATCTTATAAAATATTTCAAATTCAAATTAGCAAGCACAAGTTGCCCTTCATGACTCATAGGATTATCTAATTTGCAATTATTATTTATGGCACTATATATTCGCTTTGGATATTTTAATTTTTGAATTTCGCTAATAGATCTGCGATTCAAATGTACAAAGTGATACTTATAAATCCCAGAAACATTTAAAATAATAAGAAAGTATTTATCCATATTTTGATTATCGGTCTCTTTGTTGTCCATATTTTGATTATCATCATCATTCTTTTTGATATTCGCATTCTGATCCTCATTGGTATTTTTAATATCCATATTTTGGTCGTTAATATCTGTCTTTTTATTATTTTCATATTTTGAAAACAATTTGATTACACCACCATAATTAAATTGTATCAATACTTCTTTTTCAATTGAATAATCTTTGTTAATAGAGTAAACGATAGTAAATCCTGGTATTTCAGGGCCTTCAATAAATTTTTTAAGTGTCATATCATGACTGTTTATACAAGATATTGCTAATAATCTAACAGTTGATTTGTATGACTTGAGACCAAACAATTTATCTGACACAGCAATAGACCAACTCAATCTGTTGCCTTTGATCAACTTGGTTTGCTCTTTCGTAAATTCTAATGTTTCGGAGGTAGAAACGCAAGAAAGTTTTCTGGATGATAAACTATCATCATATTTCAGATCCAGGTCCGTGTAGTCATTTTCATTCGACTTCTTATTAACATTAAGCATGCGAAATTTGAATTTCGATTTGAATTCCGATTCGTTCGGTTCATTTTTCAATAATACTGTAAATCGAGTAATCATTATAAAATTAGGAATCTATTATTAGGACGCATTATGAAGAATAGTTTTCTGCAGAAATTTTACCAAATTCGACTATAAAATCGCCTTTTGGACTAATAGCTATATATAGTTCTTTCATTTTTTCTTCTTCTTTTCCATCCTCTCTTTCTTTAACGTCGACAATAACGTCTTCAGGGCTTTTAATTGACATAGCAAGATAATTTTTTGATGCTTAAAAATTTATCTTAACTATATAATTATTGATCGATCAAACTATGAAATAACCAAGGAGGCCTGTAAATTTTGATTTTATTTATATAAATTTCAAATTCTATAAATGAAGTCAAAATCTTACGAGCCTCTGGAAATATCTAATAGAACTGTTGCATTGAAATTTCTGTGGCTTAATATTTTGAAAATGCAATTATTTTATTTTTAATTATTTCGCTTTTATATTTAGGTTACGCCACTATAAACATATTTTATGTGTAAGTAAATTTATTTACGTGTCATAATTTTTCGCCATAAAGACTGAATCTGATAAATAATAAATAATAAGCTTGAAAGCCCGAAGTCTGGTTCTCCTTGGCGTCACTCATTTATAATGGCTGTTCAATTATTATTATTATTTTTCGCCAAGCCATTTCTTTTTATTTGCTTTTATATCAACAAACTATAAGTAATATTGATACAGGCCGATGCCAAACTCATGGATCGACCGGGCTGACCATTCTATCAAAAAAAATTTTCTCGCAAGAAACTATAATTTAATACATTGTGATGAATAAAGATAAGTTAGGCAAATGTAATTGATTAATAAATAATAAATTATCGTTATATAACTGATAATAATAATAATAATAATAATAATATACGTATATATTGTGACAGGTTTATTGGACGAGTTCAGAGATGGGGCAAATGCGACGGATTGT